TAAACACCTGTATGGCTTTTCACACGTTTGAAATAATATAAACAATATCTATTACATTTTTGACTGCCTTTTTTAAATATACACAGTACTTGTACTTTTACTTATACTTGTACTTTCGATACTTGAGTAGCAATTTTTGAAATACTTCTACTTGCAATACTTAAGGACCAAAAAAATTGAGTACTTCCGTACTTCCACTTAAGTATGGAGTTGAAAGAATACTTCTACTTTTACTCAAGTAAATTTTTTTACATAGTCCTTGTACTTCTACTCCACTCCTCTACTCCAGTACTTTAAACATCTCTGCAGAGGGGTCACACAGGGCGTTGCCGGGGGCGACCGTGTGTCACCTACAGGTGCTGATGTCCAGGCTGATGTCGCAGGACTCGGCCCCGGCCGAGTTGCTGGCCGTGCAAACGTACTTCCCGGACATGTTGGCGCTCAGGTTGCTCAGCTTCAGGACCCCCGTCCTCTCGTCTGAAAACAGGAAGATTCCGATTTAAAACCATCAGAGATTTAGGAGGAAAGGTTGTTGAACACAACAACAACCGAACACAGAGGAGGGCCTAAGGGTGATGGGGGAGATCCATCCATCCATCCATTATCTATCAATCCATCCATCCATCCATCCATCTATCCATCTATCTATCTATCTATCCATCCATCCATCCATCTATCTATCTATCTATCTATCTATCTATCTATCTATCTATCTATCTATCTATCTATCTATCTATCTATCTATCTATCTATCTATCCATCCATCCATTCATCCCTCTGCCTGTCTATCTTGCATCCATCCATCCATACCTCCATCCATCCTTCCATCCATTATCTATCAATCCATCCATTATCTATCTATCCATCCATCCCTCCATCCATTATTTATCCATCCTTCCATCCATCCAACTTTAAATCATTTCTCTCTGGGATTTTTAAAATATTTCTGATTCTGATTGTGATTTACAACCTCTCTTTATGTTCAAAGGGGTCCCGAGGCATTACAGGGACCACACACATTCTCTCATTAGGTCAACATTAGGTCAAATTAGGCTAAGTTCAAAGGTCAAAGTAGTTTTACCCTCTTAAAGAAAAAAAAAAGAAAAAAAGAAGAATGTTTAACAAAAAGTGTGCGAATATTAAACTGACTGGGTAAAAGAAAAAGACAAGCTCCAGATTTGTTTTCTAAAACTCCTCACAGACATGCAGACCAGCCCTGAGTTCAGTGTTTGTTTACTAACTAACACCAATAATAAAAACTGAATAAAAACATTACAAGTGTTTGTTTGGGGTAGGGATGGAACGGTTTATGAAAACCGTCCGAACCGTTGGGTTCTGTCTCGGTTCGATTCGCGTGTGTTGTGTTCGGTTCATTCTGCTCCTTTTTCTCAGAGGGAAGCGTTTACACTCCAGAGCAGAAGGGGGCGCTAGTGCGCCCAAAGCCAACCACCAGTAGGAAACAAGAAGAAGCGAAGCAACGTAGCCGATAATAAAAATCCGATGCGCCAACAGCAGTTTCTAGGTCTGCTGTATGGGACCACTTTGCATTTAGAGGGAAGCACATGCTGGAACTAGCACTGTTTCCTCTCTGGCAATGCCAGAATCTCACCTACTTTTAACCTCAGACTGTCACAATGATGTATCAAATGTCAGACTGCTTTTTTCTTTCAGTTTTAACCTGACTATACAAGACATAATAGATTTTCCTAACAATCAACATATACCGAACCGAACCGAAAACCGTGACCACGAAACCGCGAATCGAACCGAACCGTAGATTTTGTGGACCGTCCCACCCTTAGTTTGGGGTCATAAAAAGAGAAAAAACCAGAGTCCACTCACTGGCCATGGGGGAGAAGAAGACCTCGGAGGTGGGGCTGGTCCATCCATCCATCCATCCATTATCTATCAATCCATCCATCCATCATCCATCATCCATCCATCCATCCATCCATCCATCCATCCATCCATATTTAAAGCCTCTCTTTATGTTCAAAGGGGTCCCGAGGAATTACAGGGACCACACACGATCTCTCATTAGGTCAACATTAGGTGAAATTAGGTTAAGTTCAAAGGTCAAAGTAGTTTTACCCTCTTAAAGAAAAAAAAAAGAAAAAAAGAAGAATGTTTAACAAAAAGTGTGCGAATATTAAACTGACTGGGTAAAAGAAATAGAAATGCTCCAGATTTGTTTTGTAAAACTCCTGCCAAGTATGGAGAATTTCCTTGAGTTCAGTGTTTGTTTACTTATTAACAACAGTAATAAAAACTGAATAAAAACGTTAGAACTGTTTGTTCGGGGTCAGAAAAAGGCGGGAAAAAAACCAGAGTCCACTCACTGGCCATGGGGGAGAAGAAGACCTCGGGGGTGGGGCTGGTCTTCTTCCACCTGTAGAGGGGGAGGGGCTTCCCTCTGGAGGAGCAGCTCAGCGTCACGTTTCCCTTCAGCACCGGGCGCCCGGACAGCGAACAGCGGGGCACCGCGGGGGGGACTGAGGGCAGGAACCGATGTCAGACCCCGCACACATCCAAGTCGGCCATTTTGATGAGGCAGAGAGCCGGTCAGGGCAAAACGGTTTAAAAAGAGTTTGTAATTCTAAGAAAAAAACAAGAAAACTCCCAGAGGCTGGAGGTTAAAGTTGGTGAGTTTATGCCCCCGACCAAAGGATGGATATCCAACTCCACCCACATCCAAGTCGGCCATTTTGATTAGGTCACCAATAGGAAGATCCCAGGCAAGAGAATCGTAATTGCTTCATGGTAATGTAGACATTAATTTAAAAATAGTGAAATGAATCTTGCAAACACTGAATTAAACTCTATACATGATATTATGTTAAAATAGTGGATGTTAAATAGGTTTGTACAATAAGTCCAAACAAGTTTAACCAAAAAATATTTATTTCTCACAATTATGAAGAGTGGAGGGTTAGGGTCAGGGTTAGGGCTAGGGTTAGGATTAGGGTCAGGGTTAGGGTTAGGATTATGGTTAGTGTAAGGGTTAGGGTTAGGGTCAGGGTTAGGGTTAGGGTCAGGGTTAGGGTTAGGTTTAGTGTCAGGATCAGGGTTTGGATTAGGGTCAGGGTTAGGTTTAGGGTTAGGTCAACGGTTAGGGTTAGGGTCAGGATTAGGGTCAGGGTTAGGCTCAGGGTTAAGGTCAGGATTAGGGTTAGGGTCAGGGTTAGGGTTAGGTTTAAGGTTAGGGCCAGTTTTAGGATTAGGGTTAGGGTAAGGGTTAGGGAAAGGGTAAGGGTTAGGGTTAGGATTAGGGTCAGGTTTGGGTTTAGGATTAGGGTCAGGGTTAGGGTTTTGTGTTAGGTTTAGGGTTAGGGTTAAGGTTAGGATTAGGGTCAGGGTAAGGGTAAGGATCAGGGTTAGGGTTAGGGTTAGGGTTAGGGTCAGGGTCAGGGTTAGGATTAGGGCCAGGGTCAGGTTTAGGGTCAGG